GGTTCTCTAACGTACCCCGTACACCAGCTGTTATATGTGTAGCTGATGTCAAGGTAAGATAATTCGCTTCAATTCGGTTCAACGAGCGTAATATCGGATGATATATTTCAGTAGAAACGTTTTTCACTCGAAGTAAAATTTACTCGGATGAAAACACGCCGCAGTAGTTATATAACTCGTGGGCTCTAGAGAGTAATTTTACATGTAAAAATGAATCGGGCAGAAAGAACGAAATTTTTCTGGTTCGAGATTTCGTTTTCGAGGACATTGATATTTGAGAATATTTCTGAAGTTGAATTCAAATTGAATTAATTTCCTTATTAGACAGTGCTGTATGTAGTAGAACTTCGTCAACCTACGAGCTTCATTTATTTGAATTTAATTTTAGCCAATTTATCCGATGCAATGAACTTTTGTTGGTTGAATCCTGTTGCATTCAAATGAAAAATCGCTAGAGGAGAGAATCCTTAGAGATGGATTCCCTATTACATGAGCTTCAGTTATGTAGTGTCTGTCGCATAAAGTATTACAAGCTGTTTATTGCAGGAACGAGAGATTTTAGAATCGGAGTTCTATTGCTAATCGTAACTACTTTTATTTAAAACAATTCTTTGCATTCTGCATAGTTAAAAAATTATTGCACGAAATAAAATGTTTCTTGAGTGGGCTGAAAGATGTAAGAATAAACACTGTTGAATTTTATTAAATGTTCAAAATGTTGACTTCAATTTAAAATTTAAATATCCATTCGCTTGTATTTTTTATTCTGTGATTCATATTTTTCTTTGTGGATGGTGATTCGATCGTTGCTTTCTCTTTTACATAGTCAAAGGACTTGCATGACTCTATTCAGTTTGCCTGTAACATTGACTGACAAACGTTTGAATATTCAAATAAACATTTTCATAAATGAACATTTAATGAAATAAAATTTAATAGGACAGTGTTTATCATTCAAAAAAGATAATTCTTACTAGAACTTTTTAACTATAGAGAATACAAATGGAG